CAGGATAAATCCCTACTGGGTGATCAAGATGGAAAGTGGCTACTTACAAAATAAGTAAATGGACACTCGATATTGGTTTGAGGTGAAATTATTTTACCTTGTGACAAGCAAGAGACCGCAGAATGAATCAGGACAAACTCTTTTTGACTCGTTTGATAATCCCCTTGTTAAGACCCATTACAAAAATATAAAGATAGCTGTATGAATTTATATTTTTAATTTATAGACACATTTATACTAGGGCTGAACGATTAACTGCATTTGCGATAATATCGCGATATGAGAAAACGCGATTTTTCAATCGCAGAGGCTGCGATTACACTCGGTCACGTGACACGCGAGAGTAAAGAGGTGTCTTTGACTTCAAAATACGGAGTGTATGACGTCAAAGTACAGCGAGAGAAAGCATGAGGAGACGTCTGCTCTCTTACAGCTCTCGCAGTACTTCGATGACACACACCGATCGGTCTAAGCAGCGCTGCTTCAAGTCGAGCGCGGGCCATCAGCAGAAAAAGAAAAGAAATAAACAGTAAAAAGCCAAAGGACGTAACTTAGAATGGGAGATGGATCGGTGTGTGAAAGGGAAGAGAAAAGCCATAGATGAAGTCGCACAGACCCAGGCAGGTGCTGGTCATTTAAAAGCTAAATGCAGAAAATATGACGAGGCATATCTTGCTCTCGGCTTCACGCACTGTGTCTTAAGTTATACCGGACACTACAGTTGACGCGTCGCGCCTCAACAGCTCTACACTGACGTGACAAAGCAACCGTTGCAAATCATTTGAACTTTGTGTCAGTACGTCATAAATAGAACAAGGCATCAGTTTAATGTCGGGTTTTGTCGCGTCGCGCCCTATACAGTCTATGGTCGCGCCGCGCCGCATCCAGTGTACACAGCGTCACTGATTATACTGGTTCTACTGTATTTTGGCGCTCGCGTCCGGTGTAGACAATGTTTAATGTCGTTGGAGAGGAGGAAAGCCTGTGTGTGTGTCCTATGCCTTAGCGGACAGCATGAAACCCACAAAAAACACATAAATAATAGAGAGAGAATAATAATAATAAGTTATTCTCTCTATGCTATTTTTCAACGTTTCAAGTGATGCAGGTGTTTTTTCCCTGTAGGTTTTTTTTTATTAAAAAAGCATTCATTTTTCATAATGTTTAGTGAAATTATTGTGTTGGTCATACTATACAATGATTTATAGCTTGTCTTTGTTGAATAATACAGAACATAAAGAGCTTTAAAAAATAATTGCATATTAAATCGCAATCGCAATATTGGTAAAAAAAAATCGCAATTAGATTATTTTCCAAAATCGTTCAGCCCTAATTTATACTGTGTGAGGAAAAACAGTTAACATTGTTATGAAGACCGTATATTGTTTGAAAATTATATGATTAGCTTTTATGTACTGTAAATTCACATTTTCTGTGGACAGTGTAGTTAAAAATATCTGTCATTGACCAATCAGAAACAAGTATTCCAGAGATAAGGATTATTATTCCTTAAATAATGCATCCTGATCATAGTGAATGCATACATGTAACTGTTTGTTTGTGTGATGAAAAGGGAGAAATCTCTCACACTATTGTAGTCCTCAAGAAATGCAATATTTATCAAGATAGTAAGATTTCATTCATGTAACCTTTCTCAGACATTTCTAAGGTTGCATGACCATCTCAATAAATATTGTATTTCCTGGAAACTGGATATTTTCTCTTCGTTTGTATTATTTCCTGCAACATATCAGTTTGTTTTTTTTTCTGTACTATTGGGGTGATGAAAACACATCAGGCATACCTGCAGACACCTTGTGAAATGTCTAATACAAAGACTCTGGACTCTGTATATGTCGACAAGTAGTGTTTTTCCCCAATCAAGGCGTTTGAAACTGACAAAATCAGACCACTCTGTCTAATTTATGGGTTCAAATACCACCTGTTTGGAGCAGGCTGTAGTTAATCAAGCCTCTTGCTAAACTAAAGTGACAGCCAGACACAGTGATGGGGACCTACTGGGCTGAACTCTCTATTCTCTCAATGTTACCAGCCCGAGAGTAGGGCACACACACAAAGACAGAGAGTTAATTTGTGTGACAATGCTCCGGCGTATACCCACATGGGCGAGAGGATGCTAGCTCAACAGTGATGGACTACATGAAGAGTAGAGAAGGGGGGTCAGCTGGGACCAAGGGAAACATAGCACTCTGTGTGAGAAACGGTCGGAGAGATGTTAGGTGTAAAGAAATGCTGGAAGAAAGTCAGGCAGATTTAGTTTGATTTTGTCTTGGAAAAGGCCGTAATGAGCAGACAGATTCAGGGGACTTTAACAGTGACTGAATAGAGATGAATGGGGTTGTGCATGCAGTTCGAGTGCCAGATTTGGCACTCTTTATAAAAATAAATAATATCAGCAGAACCAACTAAATAATCAATGTTGAACTATAAGAGGTGTTAGCGTGGGTGATGGCGCAAACATTCCTACCTATGAATATACAGTAGAAGGGTGTTTCTTCAACTATGGGCACTTTTGGGATTTTTGGCACGTTTCACACTTTTACTAGTTTATTTGTTTTGTCTTTTTACAATGCCCAACAGTAAGCATACAGTAGATGAATCACAGGAGCATTCTGTCATTTGTGGAATTCTTTTTCTGAAAGTACCACATTTCAAATGATGTATTTTCAACAGCGTGATGAAAATGATGGTCTCTTTCTTCCTCCTAAAGCAAATTCTACAGCTAGCATTTTATATATTCTAAATACAATTAAGTAATATTTTATTTCTATATTAACTACGATACATATTTTTAATGATTTGGACAATTACAGCTATAAAAGTATAATTTTTAGTATTATAAAATAGATCAATATTTTCACTATTGAAAATTTATTTTAAGATTGAATGTTAAGATTTAATTATTTTAAGATTGAGTCTAGGACAAGAGTGAAATTTTAGTAACAAAATAAAAATGCGTTTAAATATGTAGCATAAATAATGACAAAAAATACTCTTGGGAGTGTCTGAAGTTGTAGAAACATGCACTACTGAAGAATATAATATTCACATTACTTTTTCCTGTCGCGAATAAATGTGAAGGGATTACTCCTTTATTTTTTGTTTAGTGCATTAAAGTTACTCTTTACTACTAGTTACTAATTTTGTTTGTAAAAACAAATATTGTGAATGTTTTCAGTCGTGCTCTGTTTGATTGACATGTATGCACATTCTTTATGAAGTGACCTTACATTGCTTGTTTTCTGTTAGGACACACTGTTATGTAAAGGAAATGCAGATATTATTAGAATATAACAATACAATTAATGTGAATGTTTATTATTATTATTATTTTCATAGAAACATGTTTTACACTACTTTAAAGTGACTGACTGAGACTGAGGTTCTCGTGCACAAGACAAAATAATCAGACTAAAGAGTAATACAGTTTGTGGCCTTATTGATACCCTTTTGCCCTAAAAAGCATAACGCATCAAAGGGGTAAAACTTTGTTTGCAGCTCCCTACACTGTCCCAGATGTCCAGTTTAGAAGCTTAATAGGCATAAATGCATATGGAAATGTGATCAAATGGGCCTGTGTCAAGAGATTCCATTTGTTTTGTTGCACATTAATTGCCGTCTATTCCCTCATCAGGTTTGTCAGTCAATATTTTAAATATGTCAATGTCAAAAGCCTGACGCTTTGAGCTTTCGCATAATGCTTGATTGAATATGTATTTTGTGTGTTGATTTTGTTGAAGCACTTGATGAAGTGTGTTAACGTTAAATCACTATGCTGTGAATTATTATGAGTGTGCTTGGGTCAGCAGTTGGCTTTCAGCTGATCACCAATGTATGATTGCACGTAACATTTTAAATGCAGCGGTTTGTAATTAGACATGCTTTATCTACCCTCATTTACATATGATTGTTAATAAGTTGTTTGGAATTTTATCAACAGTTTTCACGCAACACTGAAATATCGCTTTATCTTTCAGGATCATATTTTATGATGCTTTTATAAAGAGTGCGATATAAGTTACTCAGTGCGCCTTTTCTTTCTTTTCATAGTTATTTTGTGCATGGTTGAGATAAAAAGTCTGAGCGATTATTTGGGACCACTCATATTCAGCTGTGAGGGCTTTGTAATTAAATACAGCTATGTTCACAATGAAATGGATTATTCCTTTCCTTACCATTCCCACTCATGGTATTTTTCTTCCCTTTCTAGAAGCAGATTAGATTTAAGCATTCTGAGGCTGTGGCGAATGCTAGACCATTGCGGGTATTTCAGATGTGTGTTATCAGATTCCATTTCTCTCTCTCTTTTCTTGTTATTTTTAATAAACCCCAAGCCTGAGCTCGGGATATAGAAGCGCCGTAGCCTTCAGTTTATTCGCAGTGAACTAAAATTCACGTAAAAGAGTCACCATTTTGAGATGAGGTATTGATTTTTTTCGTTGAATATTTATTTGATGGCCCCTTTCCCCTTTATATTTCAGCTCACGGTAGCTTTAGCACCCGATAAGAAGACAATTTTGAAGCCTGGTGCATTGTAACACATTCAGATAGATGGGCCGTTAAATCATGGAAAGGTTCCTCCTGGTCCAGCTTACAGAGGTTAACCAGAATAACCACCAGCGTTTTTAGTTCTGAGGTAAAGTGCTAAAGAAATTAATTTTTTTCAGGTTTCATTTCTATTAAGGTCTTTTAACATTTAATACATTTGACAGTTTGATTGAAGCAGTGTTCAGTGTTTAAAACAACTTTTATCGGCAGCATCTATGACGTGGTCAGTTACAACAGAAAATAAGTTAACAATTTGTCAAAGCAAACAAAAATTGTGCTTTCTAAAGAAAATGTATCTCTCATGTTTTTTTATGTGCCAAGAAAAAGTATTTGGCCCATATTTCCTCATATTACTCTCACCGAATGGGTTCACCAAAATAAGAGAATTCCAAAATAACTAAAAAATATATATATATATTTTTTTTAAATACAAATATTTTTAATATAAATATTAAAAAAAGATTTAATATCTCACTAGAAAGGTGCTTTTACACAGTGTGATTTGTTAGCTCCCAATGTTGTAGTCTCTGAATGATGATGAATATTCCCAGAAGTGTAAAGTCTTTGACAAAATGTTCATTTTTTGGGTGGACTGTCCCTTTATTTATAATTTCGTAATGCAGCAGTAGGTTAAAAGACTAAAGTAACTCCACATCTGAACAGCTGAAAAGAACTAAATTGAAAGAGTGGCCTAGTCACAGTCCTATCTTGAACCTTATAGAGATGATGTGGCAGGACCTGAATAGAGAAGTTCATGCTTGAAGAGCTACCCATCTGTCAAAGTGAAAGAAGTTTTGTAAAGAAGAATGAGGCCAGATTCCTTCACAGTGATGAGCAGGGCTCATATCGAATCACAAGTGGTGATGCTGACTGCAAACATTACATTTAGTTTGAAACCGTGCAAATATAACGTTCTCCAAATAGGCAATAATGGAGAATGTTATGGGGACACATACTTTTTTTCGCAGCACTAAATATTAATTCCTATGTGTGTGTTATTAGAATTGCAAAGCTGTCTAGCAAGACTGATTTTGAATCCTTTGTCTTGGATGTTGTGCCTATGGTCTTTTGGTAGGCGAAAAGTCTTATTTTAAAATCTGCGGATGGCGTATGGGATTGCTTTTATGGATTTTTTGCAGGTTATGATTTAAAGATGAAGCTAAAATGACTGTAGGTGAGTAGGGACTGTGGGTGTCGTGTCCATAAACTGCAGCTTTTTCTTTTAAAAGATGAGTTTACAGAAAAGGCAGGTGTTCAGTAGCACCCTGGTGTGCCATGCACTTCCTGTTTTACAGATTATTTATTTTACCAGCATGAAGCCATCATTCGCAAAGTCTTATAACGGTTTCTTTTGTTGTACAGTGTAATTAATGTTATTTCACAAATTGTCCCCCAAAGTATTTTCATGATTTGGCTTTGACCTGTAGTTTTTGTGGTACCTTCTTTCGCACTGTCTTACATAAATTGAGATTAGCAGTAAATAATTGTTTTCAGAGTTAATGCTCAGACTAAAAGGAGGATGCTAAGTGGGATGCTAAGTCACCAAAGTCTACAGTTACATTCATATGCAGATAAATGAGCATTTGTATGTAGGCCCATCTGCCAAATTTATTTCCTGTTTTGTCATAGCTTTATTTTAAGCCACATACCTTTACAGATCCTTGTAGTTGCTCATGCATGGCTCTTCCAAAAGTAAGAAAATTTTGTGTGCTGTAATGTTTACTTCCCAAAGGCAGATATTCTGTGGATCCGCAAAAACTGTGAACTGTGAAATTTCATATCAGCCTTCTTTTAATAGGATGATCGTGAAGTGTAAATGATTGCACCTTATTCATTTGTTTTAACCTTGCTTTTACAAAGATGTAAACATTATCAGAACTTGTGACAGTTTTTGTCCCAAACTTTCACAAAATCACAGTTGTTTGTATAAATTTGTTGTTACCACAAGCTTTTATATTACAGTAGGTGTCCAAATTAAAGATACGTTCTGGGCATAGTTATTAATATACATCATTTAAAGGGGTCATTTAAATAATACATTTATATCAAATATAAAACTTGATAAAAAAGTTTGATGTGCTATGTACACAACAATTCACAAGTTTGGGGTCAGTAAGTTTATATATATATATATATGTATGTATGTATGTATGTATATACAGTATATATATATATATATATATATATATGTATATATATATATACAGTTTCCACAAATTTCAACCAATGTGATAATATTCATATTTCATAATGACAAATCATAATGTTGTATCACTAATAAAATGTGTTATGCCTTTATGGATGTGTGTGAGCTAAGTTTACCTATGGACTGAGTTCAGCCTCCAAGAAAAGTTATCACATACACGTTTACTTAGCTATCTAAATGGGGACTTTCTAAATTAATAATAGCTTTTAAAATACTAACCACACCATTACCCTAACAGAAAACCTCTTTTAAGAAAAAAAAAAACTTTTTTTTACATATAAGGATATCCAACAGGGTTTTAAGATTTTTGTATATTTTATTTTTAAAAACATTTTTTTTTTTAAGATTTTATTTTTTATTAATACTTTTATTCAGTAAGGATGCATCAAACGGAACAAATGTGACAGTAAAGACATTGTTAATATTACAAAAGATTTCTATTTCAAATAGACAAACAAACAAAGTCAAAACAGATTCCACAAAAATATAAAGCAGCACAAACATTTTCAACATTGATAAAAATAAATGTTTCTTGAGCACCATATCAGCATTTCAGAATGATTTCTGAAGGATCATGTGACACTTAAGACTGTTGAAAATTCAGCTTTGCCATCACATGAATAAATTCCATTATAAAATGGAAAACAGTTATTTTAAATGGTAATAACATTTTATAATATTACCGTTTTTACTGTATTCATGATCCAATCAATGTAGCCTTGTTAAGTATAAGAGACTTCTTTCAAAAACATAAAACAATTTTATAGACCCCAGACTTGGAGTGGTAGTGTAGACATACTCTGACTCTAATACATGGCCTCCCACATGTCATATATTGAGTAAGGCAAACCAGCGTCACCAACAGATTTTAGGGTCCTGCACCTGCAGAATCCTAATTTAACCTCAACAATGACTGTTCTGAGTTTGTTCCTTGGCATGCAGTCATAGTAACGTGACTGCTCATTTGCACACAGTCATTTAGGGAGTCTTTTTTTTCTATTAGCTTTCTCACATAGCTGATTATCCTATGGGTCATTATCAGCAAAACACCTCTGATGTTCAGTGAATTTTACAGCTGAAATGGTGTTTTAAGCACATTTGTAATTTCAGGCTGTATCGTCAGAGACGTTTTGCAGTAAAATTCAAAGGGAATTTATTAATCTTTCATCTCCAATTTATGCATGGTATTAAGCTTAGTAATCCCATTATCCTCTTTCATGTTTGTTCTAACAGGAACAGAATGTTAATGTTAACCTCATTGCAGTTGATCTCAATGGATAGCGTTAACCTCAGATACCATTCAGCAATTATTTGATGCATACTGTTTACTTAATACATATTCAGAAAGCCCTTAAAGCTTCCATAATTATATGACTGCATTTACATTTATTCATTTATCCAGTGCAACTTACAAGGGAGGAGTAGTACAACAACTGTCTTGCTATACAATTGTATTTATTTATTTTTTTTTATTTTTTTTTAATTAGTGCTCAGTCAGGTTACATTGAGATTGACAGGCCTTTTATTTCAGAATTACCTACAAATTTTCATTTGGATTGAGATCCAGACACTGACTTGGATGCTCTAGGATATTAATATTGTTTTATGCCATTGGCTGTGTAGCTTTGGCTGGATGCTTGGGGTCATTGTCTTATGATAAATCTTTTTCCAAGTCGCAGATGCCTTTCAGACTCTCATCAGGTTTTCCTCTGGGATTTCTTCGGGTGTTCCCAGGGTTTTGTATTAATTTTACCTTCTACTAGGGCTGGGTTGCATGAAGGTATATACCACTGCAACAGTATAACAGTATATACAACAGTAACAGTATCTTTTATACCTCAATATGTAAATATACCCACTTTCAGTGGGCAGAACAGCAGTATTGCAATCATGTGCAAGTACTTTAAACTTTTATCCCGTGTTTCCAAGTAGGCAGTTTCAATAAATCTTAAATCCTTTTATAATGTTTTTGTTTCACTCCCCCCCCCAGCTGTTCTATGTTAAGCAGCTGTTTTTGGACTGATGCCAGACTTAACATTTGCTATGAATAATCTTATCTTTTGGTCTGCGTCCATCAGGTTTCAATAAGAAAATTATTAAATTAGACCTTCCATTTACAAAGTATGTAATTCAGTATAGTATTCAAAAAATACTAATTACTACATGGTTTTTTAATGAGAGAACACATTCTTTGTTGAGTTTCCAGCAAAAACTCAATTGTTCAACCTTCGTCAACCACTCTCAACCTCCACAAATCTTCCAGGTCCTGCCACAGAGAAATATCCTCACAGCATGATGCTGCCATCACAGTGGGGATGGCATGTTTCTGATGTGTTTGGCTTACACCAAACGTCATTTAGTCTGATTGCCAAAAAGCTGAATCTTTGATCTTCCAGCTGGCTTCAGAGTCTCTTGCGTGCCTTTAGGGAAAAAAATTATTCAGCGAAATCATGCACTAGGATTATTTCAGTTGTGTTAAGGGTTAATGTATCATAGAGGTCAAATTAAATAAACTTCTTCAAGGCACTATAGTATAATACACCTCATATTAGCTAATATTCTTGTAGTCTTTTATTAGGTGATCTATTTTCTACATTTCACAGTTCAAAGACACTAGACACCTTGTAGCAGATTGAAAAGGCTCTTTAAAGGAGAAACTGTAAAGGTTAGGGCCATAAATAGTGGGATGAAACTGACCTGTGAGTAGAACTGCTGAAGGAAGGGCTTCTTGGCTGAAGGCATCGTGGTGTCGAGATGAGGCTGAAGAAACTCAAACTACTCTGCCAGAAAAACTCTGCAGGGGGAAAAAAGACCCAAATCAGAGAACGTTTTCTACAGGTTTGCAGTGGCACACTTGCTTACAATTGCTACATTTTTGATAACCGCGGCCGTGGGGAACTGGCTGTGCTGAAAACTATCTGCTTTCATATTATTTTCAGACAAGGATAACAGACTGAGACTGAGTGCTGGATATAAGGGTTTCTATTTTAAGATTATACAGTGACTAAAAAGTGACCGTTTTTGTTTGATTTAATCACACATGATGTATTTTGGCTTTTGTGGCACCTGATTAATAGAAAAGATTATTTCATGTCAAAGAGAAAAATTACTAGTCAGTATTTAGCAGATGCAGTATTTAGTCTGTGTGAATACTGTTGGTGTCAGTTAGCCACATCTGGACACTGCAGTTTCTCATTCTTTTGTGCAGAACTGCTCAGGATCAGCAGGTTTCATGGAAGTCCAGAGTCCACCTATAAATTCTCAACTGGATTGAGACCTGGATTATGACTTGGCCACTTCAGGACATTAACATTGTTGTTTTTTAAGTAGCTTTGGCTTTTACACTTTGGCTCACTGGAAGACAAATTATCTCCCAAGTTGCAGGTGTCTTGGAGAATCTATCAGGTTTTCCTCCAGGATTTCTCTGCAGTTTGCAGAATTTATTTAGACTTTTTCTAAGTTTATACTGTTGAACAGGGGAAAAAAAGCCAAGATTAAATAGTGTAAACGAAAAATGGCATAGTAAAAGGGGCTGAATACAATTTCTGTTCTAGGCATTTGTAAGTTTTATGTGCATCATTTTTAAGAGGTCTCTGTCGTTGGTATTTCACTTTACATTTCATCAAACATCGTGTACTCCTCATGCCTTTGGGTTATGGTTTTTTAAAGGTCATTTCATGGACAGATTGATTAATATGGACAGTGTTTTTTATATATAGTACAATCAGATAAAAGATTTGTCTTGCTTCCTTCAAAATAAATATGCTTTTGGAAGATGCTTGTTCTGACCTCAGTGTAAGGATGAATGTCTTATAGTCAGGAGTGCACATAAGTGATAAGCAGGTGCGCATGCGTGACCAGAATAAACATTGCGCTGTGTAAATAAGTTCAGCTCATTTGCGTACCGACATGGTTGACAGCTGTTAATGCTCAGTTACAGTTTTAGATCGACAAACTGTAATACTGTATAAGATTTCTATTCGATCTGAGAGCATAAATCTAGGCTATCCGCTGCCGTTTTCAAAACACAATGCAAAACTGTGACATTTAATTCACTGACGCTCTTCACTTGGCAGCACTAAACCCGGCAGCGCAAATACTTACTTGCAGGCAACCCGCCAAAAATAAAAGCTTGCTGATTTTAAGTTTGAAAATGATGAAAATTCATATAAAAGAATAAATATTAGCCTTTTATTTTTATATTTATTATAAAATAATTGTATTTTTATTTAATACTCCCTTTTTATTTTAAAATATATTAGTATTATCACACTTTATTATTTTGTTTATTATTTTATTAAAAAAATAAACAAAGTGCAGTAATATTATCACTATTTTTTTTTATAGTTATGTTTAATGGGTCACACTATGTGCAGTATGAGGACCAAACCAAATCTCCAGGTGCTCTTTTGAGAACCAGGCTAAAACAATTATTTGCACCCCTGCATATTATATATATATATACAGTGGGTACGGAAAGTATTCAGACCCCCTTCAATTTTTCACTCTTTGTTATATTGCAGCCAGCAACCCGCCAAAAATAAAAGCTTGCTGATTTTAAGTTTGAAAATGATGAAAATTCATATAAAAGAATAAATATTAGCCTTTTATTTTTATATTTATTATAAAATAATTGTATTTTTATTTAATACTCCCTTTTTATTTTAAAATATATTAGTATTATCACACTTTATTATTTTGTTTATTATTTTATTAAAAAAATAAACAAAGTGCAGTAATATTATCACTATTTTTTTTTATAGTTATGTTTAATGGGTCACACTATGTGCAGTATGAGGACCAAACCAAATCTCCATGCTGAAAATCTTATGTGCACCCCTGCTTATAGTGGTCATATAACTCATATGTTGTTCTGAATATATTACTCTAGACAAAAGAGTAATATATATTGCTTTGGTCATTGCACATAGTGAAACTGATGGCCAGGAAATGACCTCAGAATGTATGTTTTGCTATTATACTGTGTCTCACCAGATCTTTCCTATTTAGACCCTCTATTCAGAATTCACTGGTGCTGAATTGCTTGTTATTTGCTCTCCAAGTATTTATATTATTATCTAGAATGAAAGGTGAAAAGTGGACAGTTTAGTGTTTAAGATTTTATTAATGTTTTTGAAATGCATCTATTATGCTCACCAAGTCTGCATTTATTTTAATCAAAACATAGTACAACAGTAATATACAATTCACAATAACTGTTTTCTATTTTAATATATTTTAATTATATTGCCCTGTGATGGCAAAGCCATATTTTATAGTGTTGCTTAATATGTGTGTCATACATATTTTTAGGATTCTTTGAATTTAAACTTAATTAAAATATGTTTGTAACAATATAACTGTCACTTTTGATCAATTTAATGCATCCTTGCTGAATAAAAAATAATCTTACTGACTACACAGATGCCTTCCTAAGATCTTACACCACTCAACTGACATTGCTAAATTAGTGTTACTAATATAGGTAAGAATGTGTCTACGATAACAATGTGTTGTTTTTTCCACCCACTCATATGTTAATTAACATTAAATGCTCTTGTAAGTCTGCAAACAATGCAAGCTGACTTTATTGGATCTCTTTTTGATTCTACAGGGAGATGTCTACACATGTACCAAATCAAGTTGTATGATTAATTAATGTAGAATGTAATACAAGTATTCGCAAAGGCAGCACTTCAGCTGTAATCATATATGACCTGAATAGGTTTGTTGAAGAATATTGGGAAATAAGGCTTTGAATATTAATTATGGAGTGGCAAGGTTCAAATTGCATTGCAATGTTGTGATATCCCAAACCAATTTGCATGTTTTGTGAGATGATTCCTCATGGTCATGTGAGCTGTCTTCACAACATCCACATTTTAGAATTGATTTATTTTATTTTATTTTTTATTTATTTATTTTTTAATATTTTGGTATTTTTTGAATTGTCTGCAATTTTTGATTGAAGAGCTACAGTAGTTCACCTGAAAATGAAAATCCTATTCCAACTCCATTTTATTTTCTTCTTTCCATCATTCACAAAAAGAGATGTTCACAAAAATGCCAGGATGTTCTTGCTGGTCTTTTCCATAGTGAACGTGACGAATACAGGTTTGCAAATGTAAATGATGATTGAATTTTCATTTTCGAGTGAACTATGCCTTAGCATGCAATTTACAGTTTGATTATATAATGTTTGTGTTAATGTGACATCTAAATGGGATTTCAGTTAAAGTACATGTGAATAAATACACAGCACGATTTGTTCATTTTGTGAGTCATGCTGTTCCTTCATTGGTTTTCTTTGGTGAGCATGTAGAGCTGCACCATTTGGTGCAAAGGACTCTTGAATATGGTTATTGAGGACAGCAAGGACGTTTCATCTTACCACCACATTTTGCACAGGATGATGGTACAGCAGAAGTGTGTGCAATCCTCATTTATATATGGACAAAGCATTACCATTTGGTGGTAGAACTCACAGTTCCTCATTAAATTCAATATGGTATTTTATGCTGTATTTGTTCTCATTTAACAGCTCATGTACTCATTACTTTTATTGTAACTCTAAACCTTAGTTATCCACTTTCTAGCAACAAAAAGCATCTTTTACTTAATAGTGCAAAATAGTGTTTGGCAAAACATTTTGTTAAAGGAAAACTTTTTTCTTTAAACAAGCTTTGTTTTCTGAATAATTACATTGAGGATTTTTGTGATCATTGGTTATTACAGCAGCTAGTAGGTTCTACATCTGCAAGTTGACAGTTTCTGAATTTAAAGCCAAAGTTGAGACAGCCAAGCGTATTTTTAAACCTCTGCCCATTTTGTTTGTTAAATAGACTGATCCCTGGAATATCGACAGTGTTTTACTGGACATCGTATTAATTTGTGGAATCTTTTGCAGTTCTATTACTTTAATTATGACAGGATCAGGATGTAAATATTTGTTGTTGTCTCTGCAGGAGGCTGGAGGGGAGAACACAGGTCCTCATGCATCTCCTGAGGAAAGGAAGGAGAAGGTCCCCAGTCCTCATCTGAGTCAGCTGGTGATCCTGATGTCTAGTGATACGCTCTATGGCTTGGCTGAGAGAGTTGTCGCCACTGAATCACTGTAAGCTACTTTAAACCTCCTTACTTAAAGAAATAATTCAACCAAAAATGATAGTTTTTTTTTTGTTTTTTTTACCCACCCTTGTTTTGGTTACAGACATGTATATAATACATATACACAACATTTATTTACTTTAAATAAATTAAATGTTATTTTATTTATAAATAAGTATCTTATATTCACCAAGGCTATGCTTTATTTGATCAAGGATACAGTATAAACAGTACTAATGTAAAATATAATTTCAGTTTTATTTTACGTTTATTTAAAATAGCTGTTTTCTATTTTCACATATATTTTTAAATGTAGGTTACTCCTGTAACGGCAGTGCTGAATTTTCAGCAGCCATTACTCTGGTCTTTAGTGTCACATGATCCCTCAGAGATCATTCTGATGTGCTAATTTGGTTCATTTATATATTTTTTGTGGAAACTTTGATTCTTTGATGAACAGAAAGTTCAAAAGCAGAGCATTTATTTGAAATCAAAATCTTTTGCAACATAAATTTCTGTACTATCATTTTTGCTAAATTTAATGCATGCTTGCTAAATGAAAGTATAATTTTATTTTAAAAAAATGGTACTGAATTTGAATAGTAGTGTACAGATACATAATGGATAAATAGAATTTTCGTTTTGGGTGAGCTATTTCTTTAACTAGTGTCATCATGAAATCAGTGTTTTAAAGGTCCCATATTGTCAAAACTGAAATTTCCTGGATTTTTTCATGATAACTGAGGTCTAGGTGCTATAGAACTACCATATAAGTTTCAAAACAGTCAGGCCACAGTCAAACGCACACAGCCTGCATAAAGTAGCTGTGATTTTTCACGAACCGTTGTGACTTCCGTAAAAAGGTGACGTCAGAACTACACAGTCACTGCCTTCAGTCACCACCGTCCCACTCTCCTTTTGCCAAACCCCCAGACAACATCACGCCCATGCCATTGCTGAGCAACAACAACACGGAAACATGTAGAGAAAACGCTGTTCAGTCTGGATGTCAGGAAACTACATCATTGCACAGTAGGGCTGGGACGTTCACCGTGACAACCGTGTCAACCGATGTCTATTGCCACCGGTGGTAGTGCACGTGACGTCACACACTCTATAACAAGCATAATACAAAGTTTTGTATACAAGTGTGATAATAGTAACAGTTGCAAATTGTTTTACTTAGACTATAAGTCTATGCTAATTCACAAATTACCTCAAATGTCATACACGGCGTTTGATCCTTTAGATTGGCAGGATTGAGCGCAGGAAAATACAGTACAGAATACAGAAACCAAATACTACATCGCCAATCTGGAATAATTTCCATTCATGTCACCGATCCGCATTTGTACAAGCGTCTTCAAGTTCATGTGATTGCAAACGCTCGGCTGGTAAGGTTTGTATTTACTGCATTTGGTGTTTGAAAAAAAAAAACATGAATTACCATTCTGAAATATCCTGTTGTAAGTGCGTTTGAGGAGGTGATTGGTTGTCTCCTGTCGTCGCCGATTCGGGGTCTGAGTTCGGCTCAAACATGTAAGGCCAGACAACATTTCCCTCTGCAGTGACCATCATTACCAGTGTTTCTATTGACCTTACTTGTGAGTATCACCAATCCACAGCAGGCTACAGCATACATGACCCTAGTTACAGTACCTGTGGTTGGCCTGTCCGTGTGTCACTCAGAAAACAATCAGAAGAGAGGCTCATGAATATTAATTAGACAGGCCAAAATCGACCTGTATTTTGCAGAGCTCCTGAGAGAGGAGCTGTAAAAATATATTGAGATGTTTTTTGGTACTTATACCGCAAATATATATTCTTAAGGACATCAAGACTTAAAATAAAACTCCAGAAAGGTGTAAAATATGTGACCTTTAAGAAATGTCTGCATTTAAAAAGAGAAGGCAGCCAGATGGTATCTGCATCATACAGTATATCCAGCTGTGTAACGTCTTTGTAGCAAAAGTGGAATGAGACTTGCAAATGATCACATTTAAATTAAAAAGCTGGTTGACTCTTGTCTTGTGATCAAGCTTACTGTTGCTAGGTGATAAATGTCTAACCCCAGCAGCCACTTTCAACCAAACCTGTCTAACCCAATCAGTCATATCACTGTGGTTGTTATCTAATCAGCGAACCCCATTAAGCCTTGCTTTTCTCCTGATGAGTCTACAGAGGTGGGCTGAAGCAGCTTCGGCAACAGCCAGGGGAGTTCATTTCATTAAGTGATGTGATGCCGCAGGGACTGATGAGAGCTACCTGAATTTCCATCGTAATCCTGAAGAGGAAGTCGTCAGGCCTCCAAACCATGTCGTACCTTCCAGTCCTCCTATTCTGACCTTTATTCCGTTCGACTGATTGTTCAGCAAGATGTTAAGCCTTCGTGCAACAGCAGGGAATCCTCCTTTCCAAATTTACAGAGAGAGTTTGATCCTCCCTATAGTTGCTTTGCATGCACCCAGAATGGTGTTCGATTCGTGCCAAGCTTTGTGCTGGAGAACGTTTTCAAAGTCTTAGATTGAAGACGGATCAGAAGATCCAGAGTTTAAGCCTGGAAAAGGTTCTTCTCAGGGAAGAATGACTCTCTGCTTTAACGTGATGCACAGAAACTCCACCATATTGAGTCATCAAAGCGGTGAAGGTCTGTACTCTCCTTGCGGAGCATGAACATGCTCTGAATGCACTACACTTGAAACCACCTTTGGGGTTTTTTTTTTTTTTTTTGGAGAAGGTTAGTGGCAGTGCAACCTCTTCTCTGCCCCCCATCATCCCCCTGCACTTCCTTTCTTAATGGAATAATCAATGAAGGCTGCAAAGTCTGAGCAGAGAGCAGGCATGAGGGTGTGAACAATAAGCGACAAAACAGGGTCTCTTGTTACTTTCTGAGTGCTGTATTTATACAAGCGTAACCATACAAACCAAATAAAATAAACAAAAGATTATACCCTGTTCCATTGGCACCACATCGATGGCAATACAACAGACCTGTTTTTCTCTTTCAAGATCAAGTATTCTGAATATTAATATATCAAACAATCGGACAAAAACAAGTGACCTCTTACTCAAAAAAAATGTTTTGGTTCTTTGCCCTTTTACCTTCCACATAAATGCTACATATTTAGATGTAATTTGCTTCTGCCCTGATCATGATTCACTCGATTCACTGATTACCTTCAAATTATCGACATAAGAAAAGTTTTTTTTAATTTTTTTATAGTGATGGTTTGGGTTTTTTTTTTAAACACAATGCGTCGTGAGTCTACTGTTGCTATAGTGACGAACGCAACTTTGACGTGCATCTGATCGACAGATAAGCCATGCTGTCTTATTCTGTATGTTGTGGATATTTCAGCAAAATTTGCTTTGCTTAGTAATAACTTCTACAATAAATAAATGTAGGCTTTTCAATCACTTTTTTTTTTTTTTTTTTCCAGAGACAGTACATTAAACATTTTGTTTGTGTAATTAACATGTTTAAATGGTCAAAGCATTCAACACCGCAAACACAGGCGGAACGCCTTCAGAAGGATGCAGAGATCTATTGTAAAATCTTTTAGAGCTGCTTGGATTCAACTCACTTTATTTTCCTTTTATTTGAAATAAAATTATATCGAATTTTTGTGATTTTTATTAGTCTTGTAGGATATGCTCAATTCAGCAGTTACAGAATTATGCTAATGAATGGGAATTTCCCATCTCATTATTACAAGGCCTATAAAAAGTATTCACCCCATGGACTTTTTCATTTTTGTTGTTTTAAAGCACTGAATCACAGTGAACTTAATTTGACTTTGGCACCAGAAAAAGGCTCTATGTCAAAGTGAACAGATTTTCACAATTGTGCATATGCGATAATATTTTTTTTCAATTGTTTTAGATTTCAATAGTTTTGTGTTTTCTTGCTGCTGAAATGAAACACTCATTCAACACTCAATTTGTTTTTGCAATATTATTATGCATCTGTGTTTAATGTTGCAGAAATGGTCAAAGATACATTTCAAAGGGGTTTTAATTAAGTGTAAATTTATCAATTCTGACTTGAAGGCAGATTACCTTGTGTTTAATAACTGTAGTACATTTTAACCAGTTTGAAGAAAGTTTTCATTTTGACATGAAAAAATATTTGACTGCTTATCAGTCAAAAAAAAGAGGGTGAATACTTTTTATAGTTACTGCTGCTCTTAATTTAGAAGCCCTTATTTCCAACACTCAGTCTCTGTCTGTAGCTCATGTCAGAAAATAAAATGAAAGCAGATAAATGTAAGACTGACAAATGTAAGCCTCAAACTTCCTAGTCACAACACACCTTTTTTTTTCACCAACGTAACTAGTTTTCAGCACAGCCAGTTCCCTGTGGGTAACCGATATGTAGCGATTGTGTGCCGCTGCAAACATGCAGAAAGTGTTCTTATTTGTGCCTTTTTTTCCCCTGCAGAGTTTTTCTGGCAGAGCAGTTTGAGTTTCTTCAGCCTCATCTCGACACCACGATGCCTTCAGCCAAGAAGCCCTTCCTTCAGCAGTTCTACTCACAGGTCAGTTTCATCCCACTATTTACAGCCCTGACCTTTACAGTTTGTCCTTTAAAAATCATTTTCGATCTCCCACCAGTCTGCTACAGGGTGTCCAGTGTCTTTAAAATGTGGAATCTCTTTTGCTATAGGACCATAAATGTATTATTGATGTGGAGTGTTGACATAAATCACCAAATAATGGACTATAACAATATTAGGTGAAATGAGGTGTAATTACTACAAGGCCTTGTAGAAGGTTATTTAATTTGTCTGTGATATGTCAACCTTTAAAACAACTAAAACATGTACCCTCTTTACCAGTATTATGAGTTATTTATTTTTCACTGTTTATACAGTTTATATTTATTTTTTACTATTATCTATCCATATACTGTGTATATATATGTGTGTGTGTGTGTGTATGTGTGTGTGTGACCGTGGACCACAAAACCAGTCATAAGGGTACATTTTTTGAAATTGAGATTTATACATCATCTGAAAGCTGAATAAATAAGCTTTCCATTGATGTATGGTTTGTTAGGGTAGAACAATATTTGGCCGAGATACAACTATTTGAAAATCTGGAATCTGAGGGTGCAAAAAAATCAAAATACTGAGAAAATCGCCTTTAAAGTTGTCCAAATGAAGTTCTTAGCAATGCATATTACTAATCAAAAATTAAGTTTTGATATATTTATGGTAGGAAATTTACAAAATATCTTCATGGAACATGATCTTTACTTAATATCCTAATGATTTTTGGCATAAAAGAAAAATTTATAATTTTGACCCATACAATGTATTTTTGGCTATTGCTACAAATATACCCCAGCGACTTAAGACTGGTTTTGTGGTCCAGGGTCTCACACACACAAACACACACACACACACACACACACACACACACATATATATAGTAAATGTTTTATTGTTTTATCCATAAATATTTATATTTTGCTTAATTTACATATATTATATATCCAATTTTAAGGTAAATATGTTTTTATTATGGCTGTCTTTATTAATTGATCAGAACTGAAAGTATCATTAAGAAGTAAAGTTGTACAGTAGGACTTCCAGGATTTGGGGGATTCATTTTGCAGTATATACTAGGGCTGGGTTTTGACACAAATTTCACGATTCGATTCGATTCTCATTCACAAGCTTGCGATTCGATTACCGATTTGATTCGATTCAATATCGATTATTTTGGATATATATATCAGGTACAGTAGGCTACATGCCACATTTTTTCAAGGGAAAAACAATCTCACTAATGCTATAAAATATAGTCAGTGTGTAGTTGGTACTAGCTACATTACTATAATATTGAAGGTTAAAACTGATTTGTAGGCTACACAACTGCTAAAATTACACTTTTTAAAAAGCCACCATTAAAATATTTCTACTTCAATTCGCTTTTTTGCTATAAACATTTAAATGGTGGCTGTCATAAAACTTGATGGATTTATTCAAACATAAATTAAACACTGAAGAGCAGTAAAAATTATAAGGAAGATGTTATATGGTGCATATATTTAGCAACAAAATTTTTCAGCTGACTAATGAGTTTATGGTCACCAAATATGTTTGTTTCTGAGGTAAATGTGACGTTACGTGGCATTGTTTACAAGACATTATATTGACGTCTTTGCGCGGCTGAAACACTGATTGAGCGATTACATGAGACAGGATACGGATTGTAAAGTTGTACTCTTTCTTTTAACTTACCTTCGGATGTTTATTCATGTTTATTTTGTGCTGAAACTGGTATTAATGTGGAGGAGATGATTAGTTCACGTGCGCCTCGCGCTGCTGCGTCTGTTGAACTGAGGCACTACAGCGATCTGTCACTCCACATTAAACAGCGCCAAAACAGCATTTATTGTTTGAATACTGCAATACAATGGACAGAATTTGAAATCTGAGACTATGTTTCATATTAAAAGTACCAAAGCACAATGCTTATTGCGATATATTGTATGGGAGGTGTGCTTCAATGTTCCATCCATTAACTGAAAACAGGCTAGACTAATTGATTCTTGGGATTTAAGAATCGATATGGTTCCGTAAAAATGAGAATCGATTAATATCGAGATATCGATATTTTTTTACCCAGCCCTTGTATATACTTTTGTTCTCAGTACAAGGCACTGTATGTATAACTGTCTCAACTATTTAAAATGTTAGTCTTTGCATCTTGGATATTCGAGAGATACTAAACTTTGTTTTCCACTGTTTGGCTGATGGTTATGTAAAGGTACTCTTAATTTTGACCTTTTTTATGCTGTTTTCTCTATAGACTGTATCTACAGCCAGCGAGCTCCGCAAACCCATTTACTGGATCGTGGCGGCCAAAGCCATAGATTACGAACAGATGCTGTTACTGATGGCGGGAGTGAAATGGGACATTAAAGAGATAATGTCACAGCACAACGTCTATGTGGATGTCCTTTTAAAGGTAATGTGTTTGTGAGGCCATGCAGTGGATTTTGTGTGCAAGAAAAAATGTGTTGCCTCCTCTATGTTCATTTTCACACTAGAGGAGAGCAGGTGGGAGTTCGCTTAGACGTGAATCAGTAAAGATCAGCCAACCTTTTCTCCATCTATAGTTAATTCTTGGCAATTTCTCTCCTTCTCTATAGTCAATTACAACATGGTTTGTTGAGTTTTAAGAAAACTGTCGTACCACAGTAGGAGGGCATTGCTGACATGTCCTATCCACTCATCTGCTGTACTCGCCTAACAGGAAGCAGGATGATCGAAATGTGTGGTGTCAGAATGTGTGTGTCAGAAGGTTATCCAGAGGTCTAAAGTTAAGGTTGACATGCTGGATTTAACTGAGAGAGACAGGCGACTTCTCAAACACTCACTCAAGTGACGGATGTGATTATGGGTTGACTTTACTGATGAGGTGACGGAATATCAGCTCCTGGGAGTCTGGAATTATTTATTATTTATCTGTAGTTTACATGACAAACAGTTGTGTAGAAGAGCACTGTATGTGGCCCGTGCTGGCAAAATGAGTCGGAATACGCACAGGCTAATTACAAGCTACAGGCAAAACAAGTGAAAAATGTCAAATTTGGTTGAATTTGAGGTTATTTCAAAATATCTTGGCGAGTTTTCATAATCTATTATGTCTTAAGTGAATGTTTGGTTAACTGTTGGGGAAAAAACATCTGATGTGTAATATTATATTAGATCTGTGTATAACAGTAGGTCTTAATATATAGGCTGTCTGTCTCATTAATATTAATCAAACAATAAAAGAAAAGAGGGGATCATTCAGTGCTCTTGATTGAATTACCTTATTTGTAATGAAATCACTAAAGACTATGCAGTGATTTTTACATTTGATTCTTTGTTTTTCTTACTTTAATGATTCTGTTTAGATGTAAAATTAAGAAAGTAAAGCACTGTTCATTTGATTTCTTTCTTTCTTATGTTGGTTCTACTGTTTATTTGCATCTTTGTTCTTATTTTAATAACAGATAAAATAACAAAAATATATTTGGATTAATATAGTAACTATTATTAAGAAAAGAATTGGAGTGAATGATGAATCGAGAATCGTTTTATAGTCAAATCATTACCCTCTGAATCGTAATCGAATCGAATCGTGAGGCAAGTGAAGATTCTCACCTCTAGTCACAATAACATCATCTGTGATTGGTCAAAACACCCCACGCGGTGCATTGTGGTAAAATGAAAAAAAAAAAAGTCAAACATATGCTGTTCCTATAGATTGGTGAGTGCCAAAGGTTTTTTAAGAAATTAATTAAATTGATCAAAAGTGACAGTAAAGTCACAAAAACATGCTATTTCAAATAAATGTTCTTTCAATCTTTGTATTTCGTCAAAGAATCCTGTACAAAATGAATGACTGTTTCCACAAAAATATTAACCAGAAGAATAATAAGAAATAATAATAATAATTAATAATAAGACATGTTTCTTGATCAGCAAATCAGCATATTAGAATGATTTCAGAAAGATCATGTGACACTGAAGACCGGAAAGAATTGGAGTGAATGATGAATCGAGAATCGTTTTATAGTCAAATCATTACCCTCTGAATCGTAATCGAATCGAATCGTGAGGCAAGTGAAGATTCTCACCTCTAGTCACAATAACATCATCTGTGATTGGTCAAAACACCCCACGCGGTGCATTGTGGTAAAATGAAAAAAAAAAAAGTCAAACATATGCTGTTCCTATAGATTGGTGAGTGCCAAATTTGGTGGTATTACCAGAGATTTTAAGGTGTGGTTGCTAGGTGATTTTGTTTTGGAACCTTCAGAAAACTAACCATAGTGGACCAAGACAGAGATGGGCACTCGAGTTAGTGACTCGGACTTGAGTCGCATTTTAATAGACTTCAGACTCAACTCCAGACACGACCTGAAAAGACTTCAGACTCGACTCGACTCAACAAGAAGGACTCGTGAATATTTTAAACACATCTCGAGTCTTTTATCCTTAACTACTGATATCATAAAGAAAGAACTTGGAATTTACTTATATGCTTTTACTATATCTGCTTCACGTATTTACTTGTTGATGTAGATGGGACTCTTTATCATAGTATTTCATGACGTATGTCCACGTATTGCGCATACATTCAGAAATGTCAGAAGGTTATGAAACATGGCGGGAACCACCATGTCATATGTTCTCACATTTGGTTATATTGTGTCAGAATCATGAAGATCGGCTAGATGCAGTGTATGTGGGGAAAAACTTAAAGATACCGGAATGACAGCATTAAATCTTAGAATGTATCACATCTTAAAACACATCCACAAAAGTTAGTAACATTAACTCACATATGTGCTGCAGTGTGTCCTGTTAAAAACATGAATGAAAAATCTAGCCTTTTATCATTCTTTTCGTAATATACGCAGATACAGCTTTTCTCTCTCTTAATGTGTGTGTGTGTTCAGGTTTGAGTAATCATAATGCAAAAACTGAAGCTTAAAGACTTCATACTTGACTCGGACTTCAGATGAAAGACTTGTGGTCATGTCTGGACCAAGATCACACCATCGCAGTGTGAGAAACTAGTGATGTCCTGCGGGCTCAGATGTGCTAAAGTCATTCAAACCAAGGGCCTCTACAATTCCTACTCATTTTGACACCTTTAACTCTCCACAATTATTTTTTTTTTTAGTTCTCTAATTTTGATCACTGTGTTTTCCACAAAATAAAGGTTTTTGTTGAAATGCCAAACATGTTAGTAGAACATTGGTAGACCCACAGCTAATATTCCTTCTAATTTTGAGCGATGAAGATTAACAGTATTTCAGAAGAAATCAAATATTTATAGATTGTTGTCTAATTTTAATCTCCACTGTATACACACACACACACACATATGAAGAGTTCAGATGCAAAAGCCTCTAACTGCAGTCTGAAATTTTCATCTAAAATTAGCATTTTTATCAGGCTCCTATGTTTAGGTTCAATAATTTTACTTTAATGGCAATATACAGGTCCTTTTCTATGCCATTAATGTGAAACAACTGAACATAAATATAGGAGCCTGATTAAAAATGCTGATTTTAGATGAAGATTTCAGACGGCACTTTGAGGCTTTTGCATCTGAACACTTCATACATATATACAGTATATATATATATATATATATATATATATATATAATTATTATTATT